CAGAGACCTAAATTCTAAACAAATACTAAAACTCATCTTCAGCTGCCTAAATACATCAAAGCATGTCTCTGCACTGCAAATGAGATGTACTTGATTTAAAATTCTTACAAGTCATTAACTACATTGATATTGTTTCTTAACCAGTAGCTGCCTGGGGGGATTGTGATATGTCTCAAGCATCAAGAAACCAGTGGGGCCTTGAGAACTTTACACTGGGCCTTCGGGCAGAACCCATCAGGGTTTAGGCGAGGGTCCGACTGGATTCCCATCTCGATTTTATGGCCTTGATATATGGTAGAAAGAATTCAAAGGCTGGAGTACTTTTATACCAGTCAGTAAAAATCCTAGTCTCATCTTTAGATTCAGAGAGAGGAAAGGAGAAATAGAAAGAAGTTAAGGGCACTTACTCAAACCACAGGACATTTTTACTACTAAAACTCTGGCAGTAGGGTTCGTGAGAAAGGAAGCAAGGAACAAAAGCTTCAGAAATCTTCCTGGCCTTTCACTCACGAGTGCCATTTGTAAGAGGATCTCACCCAATTTAAGAAAATAACAAGCAAGAGGTTCAAGTTATGGTGATGACACGTTGGAAACATTATTGCAAATGGGTAAGTTATTAACGTATACTTTTTCATGGCTAATGTCACATAGACATTACATATCAGTAATGGAAATGAATATGAAGAGATAGGATCATGTTTTGGGCTGAAAACACTGGAAAAAGTGATCTATAGGGCATCATTTTAATGAATGCTAAAAATAAGAATCTCTGTTGCCTTTGTATGATGAGATTTTTTCTAATAGTTTACGATTTTTTTTTAACTCCGAAAATAAAATAATAAAAAGTGGAGAAAACCAAGGAGAGCAGGAACGTTTAAAGTAACTCATTCCAACTATTTCCTCTCTCATTTTGATCATCAAATTTTAAGTATTCTTAAACTGTCCTCTCTACCTGAAGTATTTACGACATGGATAGCTTTACTCAAGAAAGGAACACGGAGGATAAGAAGCTTGAAAATCGACCGATTCTAACAAGAAAGTGAGCCATGCCTCTCCTAAGTGTCAGCGGGCTTTGCTGAAGGTGGATTGATGATCAGACCTGGCTCTCAGAGCCGCAGTCCCACGAGTTACCCTGCTGAGTTCTACAGCCTTCACACCGTCCGTCATACAATTGCTTCTCTGTGAGCGGTGCTTCAGATTTTACAAAGTTCTTTGGAATGCACTGAATATTTAATCCCTACATTTTATGAGCGAGAAAATGCACACTTCACTTTTCTTATCCCTACCATCACTTCCAGTGGTAATACTGAAGGCTCCCCCTGAGTTTAGCATGTAAGATTTTGCAGCTGTGCAGCTACGTACAACCATCAGCTAGGGAAAAAATACTCATCTTTTGTTTGATTTATGGAATTTCACCATCCTCAGTGACACAAATATTAATAGTTGCCAAATAAACGCTTCACTTTGTCTTGTCTGATCGGCTTTTCCATAGCCAGTGTGGTTGAGTTAGAAATGTATTTTTATTTAGTGACCATTTCTCTTCTTACTGTTTTACTTCTAAAACCAATACTTAAAGTTTATTTTTTTCAGATATTGGAGGGCAATATTTATTGTCCTAAGACTGAAACTTTTGAGTTGATTTCATCATTTTTACTTCTAGCTATCTGCACTGTAATTATTTTTATAATTCCTTAAGGCTGTATCATTATGCAAAATATTTGGGAAAAGAAAGCTGGGGATGTGACCAAGGTTTTTCATAATCAGCTTCAAACCTACTTAAATTTCGAATCATTTCAACTATTTCAAAAGACCAAAGTAACTGAGCTATAAACATGAATTTATTTAAATAAATTTTACTAAACTTCAGTCAATGAAGGCTTCAGGTTTCCAAAGGGATGCATGCTAAGACCGCAGGGGGATTAGGGGAAGGGAAAATTCTGTGACCCATACGCAGAATGGCGTGGTTTATAGCATTAAAATTGACTCCACAAGGAGGAAAAGATGATCAGGCACTCCCCAAAACAGAAACAAAAGACACAGGAGTTTTACTGTCTTCTTCATTTCAAAATAACTGAACAGTCCTTTCTTTGTGGAAGTGCTTGGCCACTTGAAAGTAAATCAAACAAAGGAAGTTACAGTAAAATACCCAGGAGACCAGGCAGTTTGGCACCAACTGAGGGGAACAGCACGTACATGTGGGCAGGTCGTGGGGGCCGGTGAGGCCCTGGAGAGGGCCTGGAAGGGAGCAAGGAAGCGCCTCAGTGGAGGGATGGTGCATGGGACACCTCCTTCCCAGGCACAGTGTCCTGGGGGTCTGTGCAGAGCACCTTGGGTTCCGACAGCCCAGCTGTGTCCACTTGCTAAGAGCACTGTTCCTCAGAGGGGAAAGCCCTCAGCAGAACTGTGCAAAACCCTTGGCCTCTCTTTTTTTAAGTCAACAATGGCATAGAACCTGGTGGGCTTTTCGACTGGAATCGGCTCTAAAAAATGCCCCTTCCCCTGAAAAAAAGGAAAGGAGGAAGTAAACAAAATAGAAACCAACATTTGTGCCACTGATGCAGCATAACTCTTTCCAGACTAGAGTTTTAGATTCTACTTGACAATCTGAGCATCCAACTGTGTTTCTCACATGGAGAAGTGAGGCTCCCCTTCAAAGGACTTATCTATGAGATGTGGAGGACATAACCTTTATCAGCTATCCAGAATTACAAAGGTAACAGCCCTCTTTGAACCCCATTTGTCTTTAGAGATCAGCCCTCTGAGGAATTTTTGACTGAGTTAGCAGAAAGAGTTGGGCTAAGTAGGCACAATTTAGGGAAGGAAATCATTCCAAATTCCAACATGGAAATACTCAAGTTAAACAAAATAAAAGTAGATGTTTTCAATACTGTTATTTACATTTCCGTGAGTGTTCTACAATAAAGCTCTTTGGTTAAAATCATTCTTCCTTCTTATCACTGTCAGTAGGTTGTGTTTCCCTGCCAAGACTAGCCAGCCCACAGGCTGGAAATATGGTGGTAGGTGTGGATTCGAATTTTGAACCAGACTGAAAGAAGGGTGGCCAGAATTGGAAGAATACAGTGTCCCATCAACCACCACCAACTCCTTTAGAAGAATTGCTAATTACATCTAAATGTCTTTCTATGTGTTTGTATCTTGTTGGGGTCATTGGTGATTAGCCAGATGACTTTGCATATGAATGCTGACTCTCTGTCCCTGTCTGTCTCTATCCCTCTCTTTCTCTCCTTTTCTTCCTCATGATGTTGCTAAGCAAGTGTTGCACAGGACTCTCAGCCATGGCTCCCTTATTTCTACACCTTGGCTAAGTCACTTCTAGTCCTTTGAGCGGTCTTCAAAACAGGGATAACGACAGTGCCTACTTTAAAGTGTCGCTGTGAGCAACTCTGGGTGAAGAGCTTAGTACGAGGCCCATACAGAGTCTGCACCCATCCCAGCAGTGTCCTTCTTTACTATTATTATTCTATCAATAAACATAAGACCTGAAAGAGGCCATCAAGATGATCAATAAGAAAGTGTAAACAATCAAATATTTAATCATTCTTACTAACATTTGCAAATAAAGGCACAGCAAGAACTCAAACTCGAGGCTCATTCGCATATGTATATATATATGTGTGTGTGTGTGTGTATGTATATATTTGTTGTTGATATATGTTTGTTGTTGTTGTTGTTTTATTTGCTACCTCCATACTTCACTGTATATACATCTCAGCTGCAAAGAGAGACAAATTGCATCAAAAGTGCATGAATGCCCACCCAGCCACCGGAGCTGATTTTTACTCTATTTTGCCCCCAATTCAAGGTCACCTCACACACGTGTGAGGCTGTATGTGTAAGCCTGAGTATATAAAGACACAAGTGATGCCATCTCCTGTTTGGAGTCACAGCATGGGATTGACTGAAGTTAGGCTTGGTCAGCACCTTGGATGAGGTAGCGCTGGGGGCCTTGCTCCTGTACCCCAGCCTCTCTCTCCCGTACCTAGCAGCAGGTGTCTTATGTGGAGCCTGCGTGCAGCCTCTGCTACCTTGTGGGTCCAAGCTCCTCCTGCTTCACTCTCTCCCCCACCACGTGACCACCTCCTGCCTCCTCTTGTCTGGAGAATGTTTCTTCCCACAGCACATTCAGGGGACGAGGTCAACACAGGCCCGGCGAGGGGGTTTAAGGTCATGTGGGCAATGGCTATTAGGGTCTAGCAGTTGCACAGTGTGGCCTCGAGGCGTGTGCAGGAGGCCCCTCCGCCTGACCCACTCACCTCTCGGGCCAGTGGGCAGGTGGAGGAAGACAAGGCCAAGGCTCGCTGAAGCACGGAGTCCAGGAAAGGGACCCTTCTGGTGCTAAGGTTGCTGAGGACGGTGCTGCTCTAATCACTACCATGGGCTTTTAGGCCAATGTGGCATCAGTGCCTTCCAACTATTGGTCGGCTGCCCACATCAGCTGGCGAGAGAGAGCAAAGACGAATCTGTCAGCCAGAAGATCTGTCTCCAATGGCTTTCACTGCACCCAGTGCAGCCCTTAGCTCGTGACAGTCCTGCTGTACAGAAATCAGCTCTCCCCACCCTGCACGATCCACCCATCTCAATCGCCCGCCCGAGTCACGCAGCCTGGTTTCCAAGTGGCTCCAGGCTGGGCTGGGGGGACTGTGGGACTCTCTTCTGTCTCCTCTGAGAGCTCAGGCAACGATCTTCCTCTGTGCCAGCTGCTCTTGAAAAACTGGAAGACAAAACCTGTGCAGCCAGGAGAGCTGACTTCCCCAGACACAGTGCCTGGGGGCTGATTTCAGCAGAACTTAGGAAAGGCTCGCAGGTTTCCCAAACTTTTTCCAAAGGGCCAAGTCCTGGAGCTTCGCTCTAAAGCAAATGGTGAGAACAGCACACTGACTGTCACCAAGTAGGCTCAGATCTTCACCCTGGACATCAAATGGTCCCAGGGCACAGCTGGGAGAGAAGGAGAAGTTCAGAGGAGGGCATCTGGGGGGGAGCCAGGATAGGGACAGGCGATGAACGTCACTCCTTATGAGCTATCAGTGTGTGCTTCTTTGGACAAACTGCCTATGTGCTGAGTACCTGTGACACTTTAGACACTTTTTTCCCACCCAAAAGTCCCGGGAGGGGAGCTGCACTTCTGCAGAAAGGCAGAGCTCCTCCCTTTCCCTGTCCGTCAGTCCAGCTATGCCTCCCTGGAGCTGTCCCGGGCTGCTGCAACCCTGGCCTTTCCTTTCTGACTGCCTCTGTCAGGAAGGGGACAGGAAATTCTAGTCACCCTCACAGCAGCTGCACCATTCCTGCTATCCTCCCACAATGACGTCGGTCGGCTTTGGCGACAGGAGGTCAGGAACTGAGCCACAGTGAAGGTCAGGGGGATAGGTCACTGTTCGGGCCCGCTGGCCGGGGATCCTCCTGGGGCTGTTTGCTCTCTTCCTCTCTACATTGCTTCTCTTTCCGTTCCTCTTTTTTATACTGCAGAGCCAAAGCATCCTGTTTTCAAAACATCGGGCTGTTTTGCCACGGAGCCATCCACGCTCCGGTGCCTTTTGCTCAAGTTAAGACAGTTCTAATTCAGGAGGTGTTGAAAGTTGAAACACAGAAATGAACCAGTGAGGATCTGCCGCTCAGCGGAGCCCTCTGACAAGTCCGACGCGCGGCAGGCTGCTGGCCGAAGGCTCCCAGACACCCCTTTCAACGAGCAAGACAATATCATTGCCTCGTAAAACTCTCCCTGACCTTCCTCCTCTTCTTGCCACATTTTGGAGAAAATGATCTGTAGCATGAATCTACCTGGCTGCAACTTTCTCTCAAATTTTGCAATTCTGTTTGGCCTGGAGCCAGCATTGAGGGCTCAAGAAAACTATGCCTTTTTTGTAAGTTACAGAAACAGTTCTTCAATTCCCTGGGCTCTGAAGTCCACTTGGGAAAGGTAATTATAATCTTTGAGGCCAGACGTCTCTAACCCCAGGACTAGAGAGGCTGACACAGGATGGTGGCCATGAGTTCCAGGCCAGCCTGGGCTACATAGCAAAATCCTATCTCAAAAAAATTTACAATCTTTGAACTACTCTATTTCATTCAGACTCCTTAAGAGTTAAGGGAAACAATCCAGTAAACAAAAAAAATAGAGGCAAAGCCCAGCTCTACCCAGATAAAGTGAGCAGGAACCCCCACTTGCTTTTCCCCCACCAGACTCAAAAACAACTCCCCACCATTTGCATGTGGACTGGCTCCAGGTCACCTACGTGTACCGCAATGTGTGACGCTGGCTCTCCACATGGACCCTCTTATATCTGGCATTAGCAACAAAATGCGGCAGTCACTTAGCTGAGACAGGAGTAGGGACATGGAGGATTTTTGGGTATTGTTTTTTCTTTTTTGCAAAACTTGTAGATGCGGATAATAAGTGACCATTGACTGAACTCATGCTTCATGGGGTTCATGGGGTGCCTCACTAAGTACTGTAAGTTCATTATCTCCATCCACTCAGCATCTACCCCATGGGGTGGGTACTGCTTTTATCCCTGTTATATGGGTTGGGCACTGAGCCAGTGAAGTAAATCAGCCCAAGTCAGAGGTGACCAGCATACTTGGAACCGCAGTTCCCCAAATCCGAGCTCACACCTTTCTCCTTCTCCCTCTAGAAAACAGCCTCGCACTCATTTTTTGCTCTGCGACTCTTTCTTGCTGAGAGGGTGACTTCTCAAACAGCAGCTTGGATGGGGGCCTCAAACCATTTAGACAACATTTAAAGTGGAATGTGGGTTATTCTCATCACGGGTAACGCAGTCACCCCTAAAATGAGTATCGATCAAATTGCTTTCTGGTAACAGCAGTATCTTCTCTATTGCATTATATCCTTCGAGCCACAGTTTACACTGTGCTTAACTCTACCGGGAGCAATTGTCTGAACAGTTAAGATGAAAAGTGGAGAGTGTAGTAAACAGAGAGCTCTTTTTTCCTAAGAGTTGAAATTGACGTCAGCTGTCAGGTGGGCGCCCCTCCTCCACTGGGGTAACTGCTTTGCCTTACAACGTTTCAGCCTCAGACTTTGGAAGTAGGTGAGGCCACAGCACCAGGGGCCACCCTTTCTGGGGGGAGCGGGACGAGCTCCCTGTAGCTTTCATGCTTCCTGCCCACCGCTCCATCACGGAGAAACAGGAGCTGGAGGGATGGGAGATTCTCACTCGGCCCCACACAGAGCCAGGGGTCACAGCCTCATCGGCTATGATGCTGAACATGAAACAGTTTCAGATAAGACCACATCCCACGTCAGCATCCCAGACGCAAAAGTGGCCAGAGCACCACACTTCCAACACTCAGAGCGAAAAAGGAATTGCAACTCGTATATTCTCTGGGAATCTTCTTTTCCTCCTTCTGCAGGTGAGTACTTGCTTTGGCTTGGTGACACCATCAGCACCACCCATACCGCCACAGTGTCCACAGAGGTAAAACCTACTGAAAAACAATCCCCAAATATTGGATCTAGGTGTCACCCAGGCATCAGGCATCAGCTCTGAGGGCCCAGAGTACCTGCTAATGCTCTCTGGGAGGCCAAGCAAGTGTGAAAGTCCTTCTCCTCACCCGAGGGTGCAGGCCTGGTGTGATTTGGAGAAGTTACACAGTTGAGGCACCCTGAGGGGAAGGAGCTAGTTGAGTTTTACACCAGCCTGGAAAGTCCCTGAAGTCAGCCATCAGCTGAGAGTTTCAGCCAAATCAGTCAATGATATTTAAACTTCAAGGTATTCTTTTCATATTTCCACCCCACTAACGAGCTCTGAACTAAAATCTCACAAAGAGTCTTAGTTTTGCCCTTTTATCTATCCACAAACAAAGGGCTCCAGAGTGACAAGGGTCCCTGGGCCAAGACCTCCACCTTTCAGCATCTCTGCTTCCTCTGTCCAGAGCCTTAGAGCAGGAGCCAGGAGCCTGGATTCAGAGCTGACACTCTGAACCCCAGGGAAGGAGGAGGGACACACATTCACAGGCCCTGAGGCTGCTACAGGCTTACAGCCAGGTGTTCTACGAATCCTTCTCCAGCCCCAGAGACACAAGACAGTCACATTGTGTGTCCAGCTGGAGTGACCGGAGAGCCTGGAAGTGTGCTCTGGGGAGGGTGGAGAACTTTTTACAGACGAGCGTCCAAACTGCAACCCCAAACCCACTTATTTATGGTAAAGTGCCAACCCTGCCATTAAACCCGAATACTGAGGTTTTAGTTTAGAAAAAACAACTCGTACATTAACACCTTCCATCTTAAAAGAAAAACAGATAATACACATGCCAGAGGTTCACAACCCCTGGTAGAAGGTCGTTCATTCCCTTTGTCAAACTAAGCTTCCATATATGTATATTTATGAAACTCTATAACTCTGCATATACATTTTTTTCCTCTAAGGAAAAAATACAAGCAGGCAACACCTCTCACTATATAACTTGTATAAAGTAGAACTCCAAGCCTGAGTGTTACACAAATGATATGATAGATAATTAACGTTCTGTAAGACATAAATTTGGTCTAGATATTGCAGATAAAACCTTTTATTTTTGCAGTATGGGTGGACCTTGCTTTCAGCTTGAAAATCAGCAAACTTCAGAAAACACAACTTTCTGTCTCTGGAAAGTATATTGTTACTTTTTTATCTTAGGTCATGCCCACATCTCAAAAGAAATGGTAGAAAATCCCCAACTGTCCTTCTTTTCAGAAAGAGGAATTCATCAAACTTCAAGGCAAATCTGGTTTTTTTTTTTTTTTTTTCCTCATGGGTATTAAGCAGGTCAAATTATTTCCTTGTTTAAAATATATGTCTAACCTAACAACTCATTGCAGTGGAACCTGCTGTACACCCCCCACCCCGTCCAGATCTCAAGTTTTCTGATAACTGTAAAAAGAGAAAAGTTAAAAACAACCCAGGATTTTCATTTGTAGAGTGAGTTGGAAGCTTACAGAAACCTTTCAGTTTCCACGCATCTGAGCTGTATCAGTTTAGATACCTTGAGTTTTAGACACCAAACCTCACTGGGGATTTTAAACGGGCTGAGGCACCCAGACACAAGCCAGTGCAGCACCGGGGAACATCGAGCCACAGCCAGAAACACACTCTCAGGGCAGGCAGGCAGGCAGCTGGGGCTGCCCCCCACGCAGGCTGCTGCCCACAGGACCAGCCAGTGGCCCCCGGATGGCCAGCCTTACCTTGTTGGAAGCCATCTCACTGACGGAGCGGTAGGTCTGGATGGTCTCTAGCTGGTCCAAGCACCAGTCCAGCTCCTCCAGCGTTTCCATCGCTAGCTTTTGATAAGGTTCTTCTGCAAACAAACACACAGGCATGTAGTCAGGCTGCAGCTGCGGCAGGCTGTCCACCACGGAGTCCACGCTGCCACTGCCGATCCCGGCGCTACTGAAGGTGCCCCCTTGCTCCTTCATTATTTACTGGGCGACGACTCCTTCCTACACGCTCCACCAGGAGGACAAATCACCGTGGTGCTGTGCTGGAGGGAGGACAGGATGGCTGGGGCCAAGTCTACACCCCCTGCCAGGATGAGGTGTCAGTGAACTACCGAGAAACTTCCTCTGAGGAAGAGGGCGGGACCAGCTCTCCCGCCCCATCTGCATAAATGTGCCCTGAAACTAAAGGCAGAGGCAGCCGCGTTTTCTCTCCCTGCCTTAGTCATCCCGGGCTCTTCAAGGTGTGTGATGTCACTTCTGAGCCTTTGCACCGAGCAGAGAAGCGGACTCAGCAGCCTCCTCTCCTCACTGCTTTTCTCCTAAATGAAGCCTGCGGTGGGAATCGGGCGATCACTGGGCTGAACACCAGGTGCTCATTCATTCCGGGGTACTGGACGTGTTCCAGTCGGAATAACTCTGGATCCAGCGAAGCTGGACCCGCTGGAGTCAGCCTCTGGGCTGTTCTTTCCTCCCCTCCCAACCTCTCCTTAATTAGAGGCAAATGAGGTTTCCCCGATAAGACTTCAGTCTAAGGGAAACTGTCTGGGGTTTTTGGTGAGCACGTCTGTCTGACTGCCCGGGAAGTCTCAGGCTCTTGTTATACTAAACAAAGCGCAAACCTCCCTTCCGCCAGGGCCAGGGTCACAGGGAAATTCTGAACCAGACTTCCAGGTGGAGCCGCATGTGAACACTGGGGACTTGTGTCTGGTCAAAGCTGGGGCAGAGGAGGGTCTGATCCCCCAACCCCATCCCCCATCCCCACCACAAGCTGCCCTCTCTGGCAATATTCTCAGGACACCCTACAAAAATATTATTTTCAAGATCCTATTTTCGCTGGACAATTCAAACTTTTTAATTCATCCACAGCACGCCATTTCATATTGAACAGGCTGTGGGTCTAAACAAATACCCTGGGTTATTGACTTAAGAAACCCATGTTAATAAACACTGAATTAATTTTATAATGCTAGATGAACTAACGAAGCATCAGACAGTTATAAAAAGCAGCCAGACTCTCACACATGGTTGGCTGTTTGTCAAAGGGAACAACACTCATTAATTCGACCAAGCTTTCTCCAACGTAAGCATACAATAGGCGCTAAAGAAATTTAAAAAAAAATCTTATAAAGCTGTAATGTAACATTCCTGACAGATTTAGAACACATTTTTTATATAGTTATGCAAAAACCCTAGTAGGGCCATATAACTTTATTATTATGTGAATATTTTTATGTGTCTGTGGTATTCAGTTAGAAGCATGTTTCCCCATATTTCAAAGAATCGCTGCACTGTTTGATCTCTCGTATGTGGGACACTTCCAGATAAACAAGGGTTAACACTCAATATCCTGTATGTCATACTTTAAAACCCACAAAACCACTAGAGGTAACTTCCTCCATTTTTTTCACACTCCTCAGAAATGTGCAGACAAGAAATTGGGGTGTTTTTAAGAAAACTTTTCGAGCTAGACTTGCACACCACCCTCTGTTCTTCTCCTTCATTCTGCAGTTCAGCCTCAGGACAGAGAGCCCCCCTTCTCTGCCTAGCATGTCCGAGATACGCCCTGCCTCCTGGGGTTCTTTCCAGAAGGGCCTCCTTCCAAGGAAGCTTTTCCTGAAGACAGAGCCCCTTCATTCTTACTCCTTGCCCTTAGGGAAGAAAAAGTCTAACCAACTCCCCAGGTGCCTCTCCTTTACAACCTGTTGTTGTTGGGGGCCAGGGTCAAACATTCACTCCTACAGAGAAGAGTAAACAGTTCATGCAGAGCTCTGGGAATCAGCAGATAGACCAAAGGACTGGAGGATGACAAGGCACATTCTTTTTAGGAAGAGGAAGACAAAAATCTTACTTCTATTCCAGCTTCACCTAGGAAATACAGTAATTATACAAACAGAAGCACAGAAAAAAGAAAAGAAAAAAGAAAGGGACCCTTTGAAGCCTAGGTAGAGCTGCCACAAGACCCTGGTTGTCTCTCTCGGGAGGATCAGGCAGCAGCCTCCTAGCCTGGGTCCAATCTGAGATGTGGGTGCCCAGTTGATGAAAGCAATATTGTCTTGATCCATCACTTGCTTTTTGTGTTAGGTCCACCCCAGGATTTTTGAAGCCATGGCTTCCCTTCTGGGGTTGGTCTCCAGGAGACACCGGGACACGTAAATGGTACTCAGAGAAGCTCAAGGCCTGACCCAGAGGACAGAGGTGAGGGAGAGCTCCAGCTGGGGCTGGTGGGAGGCTGCAGCCCTGCACCTTGGGCAGGGGGTTTTAGAATCAGAATCCGAAGCTCTGTCTGCAGTCCCTGGAAAGGTGAAGGCTCCGTGCTCAGACAGCAAGGAAAAGTGCACTGTACTTAGGGCTTCCAGAGTTTGAAGATTTTTCTCCCCTCTCTCCTACGTTCTCTCTCTGCTATGAGATGTTTTCCTAAACTTCTTCTTTTTTTTTTTGGTACCAGGAATGGAATTCAGGACCTCACACTTGCCAGGCCAGCACTGTGCCACTGAGCTATGACCTTGGCCCTTAAAAACTTTTAAATGACAGGAAAGTTGCAAGGATAACGCAGAGTCCCATGGGCCCACATCCTGGCTTCACTGAGGTTAATACTTACCTTACCCTGGCACCTCTGTCACAGTGAGTAAGTAGCTGGGCGAGTTTTCTTTCACGTCCTATTCCTTCCAGCATCGGGATACCAGGGGGTAAGGGCAGATCCCCTCCTAGCTGACCAGGAGACCCACATCTGGGATGACTTGGGGTGCACACACAGCTCCCAGCTGCTGGGCATCACTTCCTGCCAGGGCCAGGCTGACCCGCTGTGCCCAGGGCAGGGATGGCCCCTGGGGAAGCAGAGTCAGGAGTCTCTTCTTCCCAGGGCTGCGGTGCCCCACTCCGAGGCAGACAGCCCTTTAGGGACTTACATGTATCCCGAGAGGACTGCTGCTTCATCTCTGGGTCATGCTAGGACCAGAGGTGATCCTGGGTTCACTCTTTTCAAAACAGGGTTTTTGTCTACCCTGGTACCGTGTGGCCAGCCCGGGACAGAGCGGCTGCTACCATGTGTAGCTTAGATCCGTCAGGCACAGGTGCTGTAATCAGACCTTTCCTGTGGCTGCATGCAGGCCCCTGCCAGGAAAGCAGGGAAACAAGGGTCATGGATGGGGCAGGAGGCAGGAGATGGGGTGCTTCCTGGGGTGCTGGAGCTAAGAGGGAGCACACAACTGTGACCCAAAGGCTGAAGACATGTGTAGCTCAGTGCTACAGCGCTTGCATAGCATACCTTGGGGCCTGGGTTTGATCCCCAGCACCACAAAAATGAAAAGCCCCCAAAATAAATAACCCCCAAAACAGTGAGAACCTGCCCAGGAGAAAGAAGGTGGTGGCCTAAATAAATAAAGATGTAGGGGGAGGCGAGGCTCCAAGCACTGGGCACGTGTTTTGCTGTCCTGTTAGACTCCACCTACCAAATAAAAATTCAAAGATCAACTCTGAGTTTCAGGACTGCAAGCCCGGGGCCCTCGGAGCACAGGGCCCTCTCTCCTACGCCTCTTGCCAAGAAGAAGCAGCGCTTTTCAGTACAGACAGAAGTCTCATGCAAGTCAGGACGGACAGTGTGGCCTGGACGGTCCCACAGTCAATCCTAGTTTATAAGATTTTCCCCAGGAGACAAAAATAAATAAATAAATAAATATAAAAAGGGCTGGGGATTTAGCTCAGAGGCATAAGCGCCTGCCTTGCAAGCAGGCAGTTGTGAGTTCCATCCCTGGTACCGATAAAAACGAAAAAGACAAAATAAATAAATAAATAAATAAATAAATAAGATTTTCCCCAGGGAAGGAGCAGGGAGAAGCAACTCCCTTCCTCTTCCTTCCCTTCCTCAACGATTTCCCTGCTCTCAGTCCATCAGAATTGCAGAAGGAGACTTTCTTCCTCAGTGGGTCTGGCGGGGATTGCAACTGAGCCCGAGTAGCAGGAACGATTGGGATGCACATCAGCCTGACGGTAGTGCACTAGACAATCAGCTCTTTCTCAGAAGATCCCAGACACACTGCTGATGAATCTTTACGACATCTCTGAGTGACGGACGGACCGACATGGGAGAATTGTGATTACCCCTAATTCACTGAACGGCACCAACTCTGAAGTCAAAGGTGGAACCACTGAGCCAGCAGCCCGCCTAGTTTCCGGGCAGCCTGTATGTGATCTGTGACAATGAGGACTCAGCCCTGCAAACACACACATTCCTGCAAATGCTGCGTTTAAAGTTACACTTTACGCTTGGGTCTTTTCTGTCTAAAATTGCACAACCGCTTCTCTAAATGGTGTCGGTCCCCAAGTCTCCTCTTCCCTTTTCTGACCCACTTGACACAGCCCTTCCTAGACGAACTGCGCAATGTTTACCCAGAAGCCCCTGTGCAGTTCTCCTGCTGTGTCGGCTTCTGGGGTGACCTCAAGCAGATTCGATTCTCCGGGACTAAATCTCCCTCTCTCTCAAATGAGGAAAAGGAAAATACCCTGCTCTCATGGGGAAGACGTGAGACAGTAAATCTTCATTATAGGCCACTGCCAATCACTCATTTGTCACTGCAGATGGGAGAGAGGTACATTGCAGAAAATTAGAAAATCACAGACAAGCAAAGCTTTGATAAATCTCACATTTTACCAAGTAGAGACTCCGCATTGTTAACTCCTTGGCACACATGACTTTGTGTATATGTGTGTATGTGTGCATGTAAAATAGAATGTGTACAATAGAAATAGACTCAAGTAAAATTGCAAAGTACAAACTGTTTCTTTTTATTCTATTTAAATAATTTTTCAGGTCATCTAATATTTTGGTTCATAGTCCAACTTTTCTGGTTTTTCTACGCCAATCCTGTAGCTGTGTGTATGTGTGCGTGTGCACATGTGCATGTATGTTTGTGTGCAGTTGTATCCAGAGAAGAATAACAATAGGAAAGAATCATCAGAAACCTCTGCTGGCCACCAACAGGTATCTGTTCATAGTTAGAAGACACACAGAATGGGTCCTAGCAGGGGTGAAGTCTGGGCTGAGCTGGACGGGAAGCTATCTCTGTAGCCTGTGTGTCAATGTGTGACCTTATTTCTCCACTGAGCTGCAAAAGTAGGGACAGAGGCCCTTTGCTTGGTATCACTACACTTTGAAATTGTACTTCTCATCATTTTTCATACAGATGAGGAAGCCCGCGAGGAGAGCTGTGTGCTCGGGCCCCAGATACACACAACTGGAGAGGAAAAACGTCACTCCGCCCTCCACGCATACATTTCCTACAAACCACATCTAAATTCAATTTTACTAATGCTCTGCCAATATCAGGAACACAGCTGTCAGGTCTCTGCCACTTTCTTCTCAGAGAAAGCACATAAGAAATCTAAATGGGTTTTTGCTCATGGACCTCATAGAATTGGATGTTTCCTATTAGAGCAGGTGGTAATTATTTGCAGGGTTATAATCATAGTTAGGCAAATCAGAATTATTGCCATTTTGTGACAGTGGGGGTGAATCTCCTAAGCATAAATTCGAAGAAAAAGAAACCACACCCTAAAGTGTACGTTTAAAAAGTACGTTTCAATTTACACACAGTTCAAAAGAGGTAAAAATGAATCCACAATAGTAGAAGTCAAGACAGTGGCTCTTCTTGTGGGCGAGTGACCCTGTGGGGCTTGGAGCTCTTTCTGTGGAGGCTGGCAATGATCCATCCATCGATCTGCATCCTGCTGAAGTGAGGGTGTTTGTTTTCCAAAAAGCCCCTGACTTCTTCACTGGTTCTTGGGGCACTGCTCTTTCTTGTCAGTTTTCAGTGCAGGCTTTCAATAGAGTGCCCTCTGCAGAGAGCTTGCTTATAGACACAAGAGCAGGGTTTCTTCCCATGCCCTTCTTTTCCCTGGCTGGCCTCAGCAATGGGTGTCTGTAGCTGGTTCTGAGTAAGTGTCACACTGCTGATCCATAATCAAGAGAGAGGCTGGTTTCAGTATGACACGGGCCAGCACGCTCACACCATCTCAGAGCCAGGGAGGTACACTGGCGTCTGACAAGTGCTGAGTGGTAGCAGTGACAGCACACAGGATAAGCAGCCCACTGTGCCTCTGTTCCTTCCCCCGGAGACGGGAAGATGGCTTGAGCATGTTCTTAGGGTCCGGTGACTCACCCAGTCCCCAGCAACGGACTGGCAGGAACCCTCTCCCCCTTCTGACTCCCTTCCCTGTCATCCTGAATCATTTTCCTGAGGGTAGACTTACACGTGTGATAGCTATACAGGTGAAGTTTTACTTTAACCCTAGGCCACAGCAGTGTGGGTGGGGTTGGTCGGGGTCCCTGCCACCCCTAATAGACACTGGCACAGTGGTACAGCAGACACGGAGAAGAGTACAGAAAGCTCTTCCTTTCTTTCTTCCTTCCTTCCTTCCTTCCTTCCTTCCTTCATTCCTTCCTTCTTTCCTTCCTCCCTTCCTTCCTTCCTTCCTTCCTTCCTTCCTTCCTTCCTTCACTCGACCACTCATTCCCCAAAAGCATACTGAGCTTCTATCTGCCGCTGGCTGGGGCGCTGGGTTAAAGCACAGAGGAAGCTACCTAAGAAGTGGTGCTGTCGCCATCCTGAATGATCTTATTAGAAACCCCTTCTCCATTCCCCGAAAGGCGGGTCCCTGGAGTCAGTTCCTTCCCAGGCTTCTAATGTCCCGTGCGCGACATGTGGCTTCAAGGATCCTTCGCCCTCCACAGACCAGTCCAGCCTTACGCACCAGCTTGCGGCTCAGAGGGCCTTTGTGATTCCCAGTGGGGCCTCGGTGTCTTGGAGTCAGCACACGTATGTCTCAGATTCCTTTCCATAATGCAGTAGATGCTTGCTGAAATGTAAAACAGGTTCTTGCATTAAGAGACCAGCCTTTCCGTTCTTAGCGGTGTGAGACTGAACATATTGTCCTGTTCACTCGATGGGCTTGGCTAGGATTTTCCCCCCTTTCCCCTTTCTAATCTGCAGTACTTTTCTCTGTTAGAAGTTACCTGGATGCTTTCTCTCAGTGAAATACACTTGTGTTACAGCATGCTGCTGCAGAAAAGCTCGTTGCTCTAAGCTGAAGTAGCACATTCTTAGAACAAAGCCCAGGAGCTACAGAATACTTAGTGACTGGCAGTGTCTTCTTTCCAAGGAAAGAGCTATGAGCCCTGCATGGCCTTTATTTCAGCAGGAACTTGTTCCCGTGTCTTTATGAATATGCAATTTCGCAAATGCACATGACAGAGTTGGCCCCAGGTAGCCGCTTAAGGGCAGGTTCACAGCCCTCAAGGGAAGTCACAGGGAAAAGTAGGTCATGCCTACGGTTTTTAGCAAACTCTAAGACCAGAAGAAAGAGCTCCAGTCACAACTAGCTCTTGTATATATAACTTGACAGCTCGCCAGGCACTTTCACTCACAGATCTCATTTTTTCCTTGAAAAACTAAATCCACGAAATAAAAACTATTATGAAGATGACACATATTTTCCATGATGCACGTGAGAAAAGTGGGGCTTGGGCATGGGTAACAGGATGCTTGCTCAAACTCATAACGATGAGAAGAAGAAAGGCAGGGGAGGGAGAAATGGAGGAGAAGGAAGAGCCAGATGATGAGGGAGCCTGTGTTTCTAAACTCTGCACTCCTGCTGCGTTAAGCGCCCTGGCCCGTTTGACCAAATGGTCTGCGCAGCCCTTTCCTTCTCGGAGATGCCCTGCCAGGAGGTCTACGGAGCCAGCCCCCACCTGTCTCCCTTTCACCCTCATTCCCATTCTTCCCACGGCTTTGCCCTTCCCGAGAAAGGCTCTCCTGGAAGACTCACCGCTGCGTGCATCTAATCAGAATCGGTCCCCACTCTTTACACACAGGGACCTTCAGCCCCAAAGAAAGCCCAAGGGGCTTAGCCACCTACCTGCCTTGGTGCTGAAGGGCAGGGACACAGGAAGGGGAGCAGATGGCAGCAATTTGCATTCTGACTATTTCTCTGACAAATTAAACATTTACAATAGAGATTTGTCAAGGGTACAAAGCAGTGGTTAGATGCAGGAGCTTGGAGTTGGACTGAGGAAGAGACGCTGAGAAACCCGAGGCTTATTTTGTAGCATTATAATATAAATTCTAACAATCTATTTTTCGCTGATTAAAATGACATTGGACTGGTTTCTTGAATTCAACTTCAGCATATGTAGAGATGGGGACAGCTATCACAAAGAGAATGAGAGATGCGATGGTAGTTACTATTGTCTTCCCTAATTTGGAACTTGAGGACCTAAAAAGACTTCATCATCCTGTAATGATTTGATTAGTTCAATAATATGCAATAAGTATATAAAGTGGGTGAAGATAGGGACAACTAATTGTAAGAAACTGGAGACAGTTAGATAATGAAGATCTCCAGTGGACTTGCTTTGAAATCTGTATTTCTTTAAATTGTTTTTTTTTAAATGTTCTGTTCTGTTTTGATATGATTAATCTTACCCTCTTTGAGATGTAAAACAAATGTGTAGGACTGATAATCATATTACTGAGCTTTTGTTCGATCATAGAGCAGAATGGTTTGTAGGGTCACTTTTTGAATGTCATTCTAAATACTGTAATTCTATAACATGAACACCTATTTCTAAGATGACAATGTGTAACTTATCAACCAGCAATTTCTTACCGTTTGTTTGTCTGTAATTTTGTATTATTTCTACCCTTTTTTTTAATCTCCATGTGTTTTTTTTTTGTTTCCTTTTCTTTAAATTAAAAAAAAAAAAAAGCTTATTTGTATTCTAGCACCACCACTTATTACCTGAGCTTGGAAGAATTTTTCTTTCTTGTCTTCCTTCCTCCTTTTCCTTTTCTTCCTGCTCCCCTCCCCTCCCCTCCTCTCTCCTCCTCTCTTTCCTTCTTCTCCCCCACCTCTCCATGGTGCTGGGGAATAAACCCAGGGCCTTTGAAGTGATCTACATCTCCTGTCCTTTTGATTTTTAAGGTAGGGTTTTACTAAGTTCTTAAATTGCCCAGGCTGGGCTTGAACTTGCAGTCTTTCTATCTCAGCCTCCCAGGGTGCTGAGATTACAGGTGTGGGCTATTACACCTGGCTTGGAGAAGTTTATTAAACTGTCTGAGTCTGTTTTCTTGACTAGGTGATGAGAACAGTAACTGTATCTATATGCAAGTTAAATCTCAATTGATAGTACATTTCTGCTCTTTGTGAATTATCCCTGCTCAGATATGTTGTTCCAGCCACAGGAATGGACTCAAAAACTTATTTTGTAAATCGCCACAGCCTACACAGGACATGACAGAGGTCGGAATGGTGCAGCAGTGGTAGAGACAGAGATCGATGGATCTGGGCGTTCATGACTTGAAACTATTTGGCCTCGAGGGTGGTGGTTTGGTTGATGACCAAAATTCACAATCACCTCAGCGTTTCAGGCCCAGAAGTGAGATTTTTATCTGTGGATATTGAGTTCATTTGGCTCAAACGAGTCCAACTCACAAGAATCTGGTAACAGATCAGAGGTCAATGTATTAACAGAGAGAGAAAAAGAGAGAGAGAGAGAGAGAGAGAGAGAGATTCCTGACTTCTGGTCATCTCATGTCCTGTACATTAGAAATCAAATTATAATCTTAGGCTTGCTCTGTCAGCAAAACGTCAGAGCAGAACATGAGCTGGATGCCTTACATGGGGGCTTTCCTCTCGGCTGCTCTTCACAGCTGCAATAGACGGCAGTTGTTTCTGCTCACTGGTTCCGGCTGCTGAAGTGGCTTCCCCAGCTTTGCTCCAGCTAACTCATGCTTATCTTCAGACACTGCAGCCTGTGGTTATCTCCTGCACGCTGCCTTCAAAACACCCTCTGAGCTCTTGTGGAAGGAACTCTGGACAGGCTACTATTTCCAGCTGATCATAATTTTTTGCAGTGGTTTCTCTCCTTGCTTAGATGTTTTCCTCTTTGAGAACAAGGATCGTATCTTTCTGGCTGGCCTTTAATACAGAACATTTATTCCCTGGCACTGGCTCAAAATATGTACATGGGTCGGCCGATTTGCTCAACATATCAAAAGATAGGCTACCCACTCCTGAAAGGAATGGGATTGCTGAAGACTACTGAAGATGTGATGTCAAAAACTCTTATTCTTAGTCCATTTTATGCAGGTCTGCAAACAAACCCCTTCTCCTGCTGACTTATTCAGCAAGCAATGTGTGTCTGCTTTCTTGGTTAGATTTCCAGACTAGCTAGTGTTCTAAGGAATGTCCTACTTTTCAGTGAGATTTTAACAAAGTTTCCTACAGATTTTATTATTTAACTTTCTCTGAGTAGCCTTAATATTACTAGAGTGGGGTTTTCAGCCGTCACAAGAAAGACATGGGCAAAGTTCAAGAAAAGTCAGTGGAGACTGCGTTTAAGAAAATGAGGAAAGAGAGGTCAGGAGAGATTTAGAGTGGGTGGAATTTTGAGCGGTGGAAAGATGAAGAAAGCAATAAAGCACATGAGGGGTGGACTGAAGTCAGAAATACATCTTGGTGATCAGTCTTGCTTGGGAAGACAGATATGTCAATCTTGTCCGGTTAGAACACTTGGTTTGGGTGGAGGGAGAAAAGTACCATAGTTCTGGCCAGATCTTGGAGCGCTTCTTATGCTAGACTAAGTAATCTGACTTGGTTTGGCGGGCAATGTGGGGCCACTGGAAATTATTCAATACAAGAACGGCATGCACAAAGTGCTTTATAAATCTTTTAATACCATTTTATAGGTGCCTAATGTTTTGCAGCTATAGTTCACTTTCTTATGTGTCATCTCTTTTAATCCTTGTCGTACCTTGTGAGAGATCACTCATTATTTCTGCATTTTAGAGGAAAACACAGGCTCAGAGAGTGTTAGGTTTCAACTCAAATCCAGAACCAGAAAACAGAGCCCCATGACCTGAACTGAGGCTTTCTGAGTGCAGGTTCAGCAGTATTGCTTTATGCAATGCAGCCTATAGGATACATTATTGATCTGATAGCAGTAAAGTTATAAGACGTGGCAGAGAATGAGTGCATGGTAAATTATTAATATCAGAAATTATTATTTATAGCAAAAGTTCAGAGCTTAAGAATCAATGTGGTTTCAAATTGAGGTGCCATCCAATTGATGCACACATAATTCACATCGTAAGCGTAGCCTCATATTTAGAATGAAAGTTGTCCAGGAAATTTCAAGAATTAGTAAAGAGTAGTAGAAGGAAATCTATTCGTTGCTGAGCATAAGTTTTGTGGCTGGAGAGGAGGAAGAGACCGGAGGTTTTCCAGTCTGCTGAAATACAGCCAGCTAAAATTCTTTTGTCCACCTACAGGAAAGTGTCTCTTTCTAGTGCCACCTGGGGGAAGAGTCAGCTCACAGGGGACTATGGGCACCCACCTTCTGAGAGGAGCACTGCCTTTGATTGTGCGTGCGAGTGTTATACCAAGGGCAGGAAGCTTGTTGCAAGTACCCAACCCCAAAGCCAAGGCATTGAAGTTATCTCTCCTTTTACAAATGACATCATGGAGGCTCCCCAAGGTGAAGGGTATCATTTTAGAATCTGGCTTTCTGGCTACCACCAATCACAGGAAGCCACTCAGCAGTTAAAAAGTGCTCAGCCCGACGTGAACTGTGCAGTTGGGGATAATGTGACATTTCAGACCGTGTGTCACAAAAGCTACATAGCAGCTCGAGAGGTATTTACCCTGGGTCACATGTCGAAATGGTAGCTGTGAGTTACGCAGAACTGACTGTTTGTTTCTTTCTGGGTGCTTACTAGAAAATCTTAAATTACCTAGGGCCCGGCATTGTATTTCTGTTAGGGGGGATGGTTCCAAATCAGAAGGCTGTGACTGAAATT